TCGAATGAATAGTATTAACCTTTTCTGAATGATGTTTATGAACGCCTGTTTGGTCTTCTTAACACGAAAACAAGAGAAGAAAATATGGAAAGGGGAAAAGGGTCAAGAAGTAATGAAAACACCAAAATAAAACAACATATTGCAGACTCGATTGCAAACTTGATAGACAAATAGAAATAGCTTATGAAGATATGACACAATCGTGATTTTAAAAAAAAGCAACAAGTATAATTAAATTGTAGAAAGGCAAAAGGGTATAAACAAACACTTGTCAGTAGATATTAAATCATTTATTTCATGTTCAACATATTTTAGATCAGTGTGTTCCTTATGCAATATTCAATATATACAATAGTTGTAGAAAGCAAGACAAGTGCGGTTCAAGTGAAGTACATTATTTTAAACAAACTTGTATAAATCAAGTAAGAAACTGCAACCAGTGGAGGTTGTCTTTGTTCAAAAGGCATAATTATTATTTTGTTTTCTTTGCATCCCATTTCCATTACTGTTTGTGTTTCAAAAACGAATAACTATTTCTTTCTGTAAAAGGCCAAATAAGAGTTATATAACATTTAGATAACGTTTTAGAACATGTTAGATGCATATCACCTAGCGCAAGTAGTGCAGCGTGTGAAATTATTGGTCATAAAACTAGCAAAATGTAGATATTTTGACTTCTATACACAATACTTAATCACAATAACTGTACTTGCCAATAAGCAACAGAAAAAAAGATGGCCAAGGTGATTGGCCAATGATTACCTTTCTGGCAAATATTACCAGACATCAAAAGTAAAAAGCCTTTGAAAAATAAACATGAAAGCACTTCTGAGGCATAATGGGCTTTAATAGTTTGCATTTTATGAATAATGAATCAGTTGAACTGTAGGCTAGCATGGACTTATCTGTCACTTGTCAAGTTAGGCATTGACAGACAGAACTGAATTTCAACTTAACCAATTACGACTCACGCATGGGAAATAGTGACTGTCGAAGCGGTAAAGACAAATCCAATAAGTCACTAAAAACCAGTATCTGTCCATTTAAGGTCCTCCCGCTATACTCAATAGGCAGCGGATCGGATTTGTCATCAAGGGATCCCTAGTTCGATCTTTGCGCAAGGCAAAATATTTCTGTTGACAATTAAGCTCGAATATTAAGTTTAAATGTCATTTGTCTCTCAAAGTTTTTAAATAAACATATATGAGCCAAATAATAAAATCGGATGACAGAAATGACTTATATCTAAACGATGTCGCAAATGGTTTCATAGAGCAGATTTGTTTTTGATTATTATACGACCTGATTACGGGTTACGAATGTATTTTAATTCCATTTTATGTATTTTTTAAACTTGGCATGATCTTTAACTGGGTCTGTTCATGTGCTTAACATCTGTAAAGTCTTTGAACATAATTGTATTGTCAAATTTATTGGACTGAAAAAATTCGTTTATACGCCCCCATTTTAGTTTAGTTCAACACAACCAACGTTATTATCCACAAAACGCTGCATCCCGTATACATATGGCAATTAATATATTCCTCTAAAAATATTTCATTTTTGTTTTATAATACGAAATAATACTTAAAATATTACGGACATATCGCTTTAAATAGTCCTGTCTTGCTTTTTGCTAATTTCATAGGAAAGGTATGTTATATATTTTAATGAATATTTTCATTGTATTCCGATTGTCATCTGTTTAACGGTTAACAGGTGGTAATAAGTTTTTCTTAATTAATAAACAGTAATGTGAGTTGACTTGACATGTCTCAATTTCAAAAATGAATTCTTTAAATACGATTTACTTCTTTTCTTCTCTCTAACGTCATTCTATTAAATATTACAGAAATAGAAACGCTGTTTTGCAACAAGTGAAACCTGAGAATGATGAAGAACACTTCAAGTAATGAAAATATGAAACCAAAAGCCCAGTTAGGGAATTAACCTCAATTACGGTCTGTCAGAAATGCTGACGAAGAGAAAGTGTGTTAGCTCGATATATTATTGTTTCTTTCTGCACGGTGTTTTGGACAAATCTAACATAAACGCAATTTGAAATATCAACGAATGCAAACATTTTGTAAGAGTTAAAACAAAATATTTTTGGTAACATTAGAGACAATGTTTAAGTATACATTCATGTGCTATTTTTATCAATTTAATTTCATAGTATTTTATAAATTAGTAATTTTATCCTTTTTTAAAGTGAAATATCAAGTATCAAGTTAACATTTGAACAAGACAAATTTAATCAGCGTTGTTGAAATATATTATCAAAATTTCTTGCGTCTGGCATCAAAATTTACAAACAATACATTTTAAAAATCTATAAAGATATTATTTTTATTTTGTAAACATGAAAGTTCTTATATAAGAAAAAATAATAAAGTTATAACAAATCTAGTGTACTTATTGAATCTATCTAACGATTATTTCATTATCTGTCTTGTGCACACGCATATCACAATGTCAATAAAACTCTTTCTTGAGGACAGTTTTGTTATTTTAAATGGATACCGATTCTTTTAGGAGATAAACGTGACCTTTATTTTGATATTCCTCAGCTGACTTAAATTGCACTGAAAGTTTTGTTGTTGTTGTTGTTGTTGTTGTTGTTGCTACCAGGCGGTTACTTAAATTACTAATATAATGTGTTATGTCCTTTCGATGCTTTACGAAGATTTACCTGGCCTTCCCTCTTCTTTTATTCTGCAGCTTTTTTTTTTTAATTGAAATGTAAAGATATTTGTTGGAATCATCTGGTTTTTATCCTATAGCTGTTTTCATATGATGTATGAACGAATATAATGATTGAAATGACTATGAATATTGTCTTGTTTCATTTATGAGTAAATGCTTGTTTGCTGTTTTAAGTAATTGATATTATTTGATTAATTTATATAGTGTCAACCTCGGACTTGTGGATCATAATGGTTTGATTACATTACATCAGATACTTGAACTAAAATGAATGAAATATGTAGTGGAAAAGCATAAATAAGATCTTTAAGCAGACATATTAATATTATGGTTATCTGCACAAAGACCTTGGTTAACTTAAATGTCTAAAGATATTTTTATATTAAGTCTAGCTTTTATGGCATATTATATCAATTCATTTACTGTTGTATCTTCACTAATGTCGGAAGTAAGGTTTATGTTAAAAATAAGAATGTTTAACTTATAGCTTATGTTATTTTCCCAGATCTTGCTCAATCCCTAGACAATAATTTGTATTTATTTCCAGTTCGTTGAATAAGTGCATTTGAAACAAGATGTATTGAGTATGTATTACAGACAAACATTTCGTTTCCGTCATATCAGAGTATACACGTATATATGATTTCTGTAATGTATAAAGCTTGGTCAATATTAAATACACAGAAAAGTAAAAGAACAGTTTTGAAAAAATAAATTGTTTAATATTTGTCTAGGCACTGAACTATTTTCAAACATTAATCCTGACAATCGAAAGATCAACCAAACAAAAGATTTTCAATGAAGCAAAAATACCAAATATTCAAGAAATTATTTTTACATAAGAGTTTAAAGATAAAGATAATTTTCATAGGCGTGTTGGTTCACTTAAATCATGTTGAGGTTCTTGGTATATCAATAAATAAGATTGTGTGATCAATATCCGTTTTATTATAAGTACAATAACGAAGACATAAAATTAATATCAAAAGTACATAGGATATAAAAGGTTGTTCTTGTTATTGGAATGTTTTCGGCTCGATGATCAAAATATAAATATAAAATAAAATGTGAAGAACATTAACATTATAATTGATCGACAACATATTTTTTCATTTATCAATACCAATCAAGCGTTACAGCATATAAATAAGCAAAATATCAATTATGCTGAGAGATGTATGTGCTACAACTGTTATTCTCCGATAATTTATGAACAACAGAAACACATATAATACAATTATAAATGAACATATTTTTATCTATTTAAAATAACAGCTATTAGGATGAATTAAAATATTATCTTAATACATCTTTGAAAGCCCCTTGTGGCTGCCTTTAGTTGTTGAGGCATAAGTATTGCAGAAGAGGCGGCTGACTGAATGGATTCGACTGGAGTCTATGTATTCCATAGCTTCAGCAGGTGAGCTGGTTTTGACCCCTGGTGTTGCTTTGAAGTTTGTAACACCCGAGGTTAGCCAAAATCATTTTGTTCCTGTTCCCGCACCATATGACCTAAACTGTGTTGTTGCGCCGTTAAACCAAACAAACAAACATCTGTGATAAATTAATTGTAATACTAATACTAGGTTTTAATTACAGTCATATCATACATTGAACATATATTTTTTACAAATTTTATACAAAAATTACAAATATTAGCAAACAAAATAAATGAGTATATATTTTTTTCAAGAATAACACAAGAAGTAGGCACCTAACCATATAATAGATACGAAATGCAAGCAAATATCAAATGCTTTGAAAATTGTATTTAGGAATTGATCTGTTGTGTTTTTACCTAAACAATATTAAATCTATAAATTTCTGTCATTCATAACCACATAACAGGTAGCGTGAAAATTACAAATGGATAAGTATACGTGATGCTTCATCGGTTTACAACATTATTAATACTAAAGGAATGTTTTCATCGTTTGAAATTTCGTATCTATACTAAATAATCGTTTATCACATAAGTCACTTTTCCCCAATTTCCTGAAAGTTTTATACACATAATGACTGTTATTGTCCTTAATCCGTCTATTGTTCTATTGTGCGATATAACTTTGTTCTTTTGGTACGTTAAGTCATGTCTTCTATTAGATCTCTGGGATATACAGAGATGGGCATTAAGGAAAGATTGCATTGTACCCACAATACATGCTGTGTGAATTAAACAAGAAATCTGTCCATACCATACGCAAGTAATTCCATAGTCTTCCTGCATGAAGCATATTGTTATAATTTCAAATATCCAGATAAATCTAATGCATTTACAAATCATTAGCACTTCAATTTGGAAGGAAATGTTATTGATTTCCGCACAAAAAGTTAAAGAGCAAAATAACACGGATCTTTTAAACGAAATTAGAGTTTTCCTAAAACAACATTTGTAACGACTTTTAGGTTCTGTTGCACTGCATTGTTAAACAATGTTATTTTATATTTCTTAAGTTAAAGCAATTGTTAAAAGATTAATTTAAAATTGTGTGAATATTGTAGACACAGATATCAGTGAATAGATTATAAGAAGACCAATGTTCTCGTCACATACAAAAATACTTTACTTTAATAGGATTTCCAAAATTGCATTATTTTGAGCATATCACTTACTGATTTTTCATCGTCTTCTTTTTTAAGATGTTCGGCAATGTACTTTACCCCTTTCATAGATTCTCTGATCTCAAACGGATATCTAGAAAAGTCATCTTTCATTGTTGATGAACGATTTCTGAGATTTTCATATTTGGGTACATTTGTCTGGTGCCACAACTGCACCCGTTCAGGGGCATCAACGTCTGTCTCAACCATCTCTATCCCATTTGACTTTAACTTTTTATTAGCAATAGGTCTTTTCATACCCAAAACCTTTGGAAGAATTTCTGTAAACACACGCTTTATCCAGGGTGACATTTTATGTGTAGACGGTGATCGGAAATGAACACTTAATGTATAAACAGTCAGGAATATAGACATTGTTACCACAATCATTGTAAAAAGTAGATATTTGCCTATTAATGGTATAACAATTGACGTTGGAGGGTTAATGTCAGAAAGAAGCAGGAAGAACACAGTCAAAGCCAGTAGTATTGAAATAGATAGAGTAATTTTCTCCCCGGAATCGCTGGGTAAATAGAAGACTAGAACAGTCAGACATGATATGGCAATACATGGCATAATCAAGTTAATTGTGTAGAACAAAGTTCGTCTTCGGATAGTGATATTGAAGGTGATGTCTGGATATGGTTCAGGGCAACATGGGTAGAACTTTTCCTTTCGTCTTGCTGTTACATTTATAATGTCCCATTCAACATTCTGATAGTAGTCACAGAGATCAACACCTTTAGGTATTACCATTTGGTTACCTTGCATAACACCTTGATCTTTCCAAACATGTTGAAGATCCACCTTAAAGTTATACACTTAACAGTTAGACAAAAATAACAATTACATTATAGCTGCAATTTATTCTACTTAGTGGCAATGTGCCGTTAAATATACATTTACTACTAAAGGGAATAGCCGCATTTCAATTTGCAGAACAAATTAATTATGGAATACATTTAAATACTTATATATTTTACAGTGTTAAGAACTGGTGTAGTAGTTTTACATTTAAAATTCTTTTTTCTACATCTCTTATGCTTGCCGGGTTTGTTGTAAGGTATAAAGGAGATTATTTGAGAACCACAAACATTGAATGCACAGCACTTTGACAAGAGCTGTGTTTCTATTGTGACTTAAGCTCATACTTTATATACATTAAGTATATATACATATAAAGGTTTAATTTAACGATAAACTTTTTGATATCATAGAAAAACAATTAATTTAATGTGATAATCATCACATCATTAGGTTTAAATTTTTTTATATATAAGTAGGAAGGAATATATTAAATTTATTTTAAATTGACTGGATTAGAGTAAAAAGTTAAGAGATGCATTACCTCGTGGCCATCGTATGTCCACACACCAAATTTCATGAAACATTCTTGTTGATCAAACGGAAAGAATTCAACATTGATTGGACAGTACGTTTTGTATATCGCTGGTGGTTCCCATTTGATCAGGCCAGTGTGGTACACCGTGGCTTTGGTGAGCAATGTTACAACATAATCTCCATCAGCACTGAAACACATTGAATTTTCCTTGTTTTTTTTTTTTTTTTTTTTTTTTTTTTTTGTTACATGCGTATCATTAAAAAATTATAAATTAACTTTCAGCACATATGTATTATATAGCTTATAAAATCTGGACAAGTGTGAATCTTCAGAAGCATTATCAACAAAATTACATGAAATGCAGATTGATTTTCACTGAATTGTACATGAGGGATTAAAAAGCGCACATCTTTAGGCGCTTAGACGGCTTGAGGTCTTCATTTTAACACTATGAACAGTTTGGAACTTTGTAATCATAACTGAAACATGAGCTTTTGTATAAAGATATTATGATTTGTTAAAATGTATAAAATTTGTAAAGTGTGCTTCAACAAATTTTAAGTGACTTATGCACATCCATGGGTATATAGTGAGTGAACGGGTGAAGATCAAAATATGTTTTCAATTTGCCATTATCCCTTTTAATTTAATAATTAAGTTTGCATAAACAATTAATAGCACACAGATCCGAATGAAGTTTCTGTAAATGTCCGTTAGATTTTACGTACAACGCTTAGTTTATAAAAAGAGTGGGGCAGTCTTTTTAATTTTTTTGAAGATTTATAATTTTATCCTGAACATTTTCCAATATCAACTGTTAGTCAAACACCATTTTGAAAGTCAATCTTTGGAAATATAAAGTCAATTCAGCTCAACTTGACTATGAAAATATGAGCATAATGTCACTTTAAATGTTACAAAAACTCCTTGTAGGTACAATATGATACTGTTGCTCTAATTATTTTGTTTTTATAAAATGCTTTTTTTTGGATTGTTTAATGAAATACAAATATTATTTACAGAGATTAAGGACTACACAAACATACAAACTTATAAAAACTAAATATCTGAGTATTAAGTGATGTTAAGAAAGTTTTGTTTAAAGTTTTTTAAGTAAAAATAATTCAAACAATTTGATATATTGATAGTATACAACATAAAACAATGGGTATAATATCGTTATATTAATTTAAACATAGTTCCAACGTATTGTGTCATAACATCTCTTTAAATAATGTCCAGTGTATGTGTAGTGCTATTTTGACATTATAATATAATACAATATTGTACATAATGTTTATACAAGAAATCATTATTTACGTATGTAATGAAGTAATTAAGAACCTACTTATTATATAGTAAGATATCTGGCCTCCATAATTCGTCAGAAGGAACATGTGTCATCTGTATACCTCCGAACTCTTGAGGATCCCACTGTAGACGTTGGTCTACCCATTCCTGTATATATTGTTTTATAGTCATATATAGTACATTCGTAAAATGTAAACAATAACTGGTATGTACTCAAAAGAGTTATTTTGGACAAAGGCATACTGTCCCCCTTTTGCTGAGTATTCATAAAATATATACAGAATTAGCATAAGTCCTAAACTGATTTTTTACTGAAGAAAACAGTTACTCTGAAATGAAAACGTTTTTATCATAATTGCATAACATATAACATATGCCATCATTCAAAAGTATTTAATGTTCCTTTCTGTTTAACTGGGAAATAAGATTGCTTATAAGACATAAACAAGAGAAAGCTTTTTAGATTAGAGGTTTGTAATTGCTACTCACATGTTTCAGCCACAGATTCGATGTCAGGATTTGATTCTTTTCAGACTGAAAATGGCAATATATCTATTTAAAGCATATGATTATATTATATGTTTATGAAAGGACAAATGTGTATCAGAGACTGTCTAGAGAGTGGGTATTAAAGACAATTAATAACAAGGAACGTAGAAAAGCAAAACAGATATAAAAAATGTAGTAATTATTAATTGTTTTTGTATGTGTTAGAAATATAATGTTGTTTTTTTGTATTTACATCGAAACAGTCAATAACACGCACTTGTATGGTCTTATCAAATACTGGTTTTCATAAACCAGACCGAACAGATATAACTTCTTCATGTTTCCACTTATCAAAATTGACACGTGTTACAAGCGATATACCATTGCAATATTTGCTTTATTTTACAAACCTCACCGAGACTGGTTGCTTTCAATGAAACATTATTGACGTTCAACATGGCAGCTTATTAGGAAATTCGAGTTAATCAAAGTTGCTTCAAATTATTTGTGAATTGTAACTATAAAGCAATCTATTGGTCCATTTTTACAAAATTTCTTCTCCTTATGACTAATAATTGCCGTCTATTCAAATAAAACGCTTTAAGATATTAAAAAGATCTATGATAAGCTATAAGTATCATTCCTTCAATAACTGTTCATAATGTTATTATATAAGGAATAATATTTTAAAATTCAATTTGAAATAGACACTTAACTTAAATTAGTACCTTTGTGTAAATATGGTCACGTATCTTTAACTAAAAGATAATATTAAAATTTGTACATAAATGTTTTAAAGACAATATTTGAAGAATTTTTGAAATATTTAGATAATTTACATGTAGTTAAAGAAGTCTTCATTCGAAACAACGTATCACTTACTAAATCAACAATGATTATATATGTAAGAGTTGCATCCATTAAACAAGCTACATAGAGGTATTTGTTTAGTTCAGTGTAAGGTCGGAATATATTTCACCGAGTTATTACATGCAAAGAAACGTTTTAAAAAGACATTAAGCCTAATACTGAATGAAAAGCGCGCCAAATAATAATACAACGTGACGTCATTTACGACGTCATGTCATTAAGTTGGTACCCAGTACTGTGCACGCTGGTATTTCACTGAAACAACGTAAGGGGCTTAAATTCAAAACAGTGAAATTATCAAAGTGGTAATTTCACTGTTTCAAACAGTGAAATTACCAGTTTTATATCACTGATATATTTCTATAAACCACCGAAAAGCATGTAATAAATAAAGATAATTAAACATTTTCCTATGTGTTTTAGATCGCAATATGACATTCTTTTCGTTAATAAACAAATCAGTTAACAGTAAGAGAGCTGTCATCAATGCCAATTTTGTCTTTTCTCTTCTTATAACTAATTAACTATTGGACCATGCATGGCCAATAAGGTTTGATATAAAAAATAACCGGTCTGTAAAATAAAAGGGCAATAAATGCTGGGTAGCGGAAAGCTTTAATTAGAAACGGAACTATTCTATTTCTCATTATCCGGAATGAGAAAAGAAACATTATTAGCAGCAATTTGTTGGACGTTTATGAGATTCCACAAAATGTCAGACATCCGGGACGAAGCATGGTTTAAAAGTAGTATAAGGTTAGGTTTAATACGATTGATATCTGAGAAATTACTCGCGTCCTTTGAAAAAATGAAATGTATGTTTTTATTCTAATTTCAAAACAAATCTCAGATTAAATGTTAAATTCAAAGTAAAACCCGATAAAGTTTGTTAAGGCAACTGATCAGAAAAAAGAAGATGATGAGTTATAAACAAACAATATGCCTTATATATTTTACCCCCATTATTGTGTATGATATCACTAAATAAACAAAATACATATGAATGTCATCTGGTCATCTAGAATAGATTAATAAAAGTTAATGTCACATATTGTGGACACACATATTGTGGATATATTTCAGTAGGGTATTTATAAAGAGACAAAACATAAACCATAAGTTTTCGTTGTCAGACATATCAAAAACGGGTTTCGTAATGAAAATGCAAGAGGAAATTCATGTTGTTCAAGCATTTCTTAAATGTTGATAGTTAAAGAAAGAAAATGATTGTTTTACAAGGGCTTTGAAATAATTGCACGTAAATACGGCTTTAATATTAATGCCGTGACGTATATATCAAGTCTATTTCATATCTTGTCGTATCAAATACTAATTGTTTTTTGTAAATAAGTTTAAAAGAATCCAGTAAAATAGCTGATTTCCGGAGAGAAACGTGATTGGAATAAAACAAATGAAGTTGAGCAAAATTGGATTCTGAGAAATAACCTACGTTCATTTAAAAGAAAAAACTCTTTAAATCAATGCATGGTTTGAAAGGTAGTAGAGGGTTTCTTTTTGTCTATTTCTTAAATCAAACATAAAATGTTTGTAATTAGGTTTAAACTTTTTTAAATAAATGATGATCTTTTGATATAAGATTCCAGCGACTAAGAAATAAGATAATCAAATAGCGATATGGAGACTATGCGTTAGCCAATACTTTGTGTATCAACATAATTAATATTCTCGCCATTTTACACGTTTTAGAATTGATTAATTTCTGTTTTATTTTGTCTCTATATTTGCTTGATTAATATTACTTACATATCTTTCGACTAAATTTTATCAATCATTACTGATTTATGATAACATACGTGTACGCTCAATATATCTTATTTACAAAAAAAAACAACAAAAAATATAAGAAATTTATCAAATACAATGAGAAAAAAAGAAAGAGAAGAAAATATTATTATAATACTTTCCTAAAACACAATATTACACTATTGACACAGTATTTCACAAACCCTTAATTACGTTCAAGTAAGATTCCAAAATCATAACTTCGGTCGAAGCAAATTATATTTTTACATGGTCATTTCCTTACGATAATTTGAAAATATGTAAAAATTGGATAAACGAATATAAAAATTAACTTTTTTATTTGTTAATTTCTATTAAAAAAATATGTTTTTTTTAAACGAATCGAAAAAAACCCTTTCTTATTTCCCTTTATATATATTCTAGAATGAGATGTATGTGAGTTTCAGAATATGTAGTCGGAAACTCTTAAATATCTCAGGTTTTAAAAAACGTTTTAAATATTGCTAATACCCCAAAAAAGGGAAAAAAGGGAAAGGTCTATATAGGTGGGTTTCGTTTAAAGTATTCTATGATGAAGTTTTTGATTGTAAAAATTTCTCCTGACTATGTTTCTCAATTATTAGTTTCGTTTTCAATGTAGTTTTTGTGTGGTTTTTAATGTAACAAAAGAAACGCTTCAAATGTTGAACTGTATTTACATAATTTTAAAATAAAGCACATGAACTTCAGTAACTTAAACTATCGCATTTTTTTCGTTGTATTTTTGTTGTTTACATTGTATTGCAGCGAAGATAAATAGTTTGTATTTAAACGAAGTAAATCGAATATGTTATGAAAGAAAGTTTTTAAAAGTATTTTCAATACCAATCCCGATTAGGTTATGACTGAAGAATACAGCGGTTTGGTTTCTTGTTTGGTACTTGTTAAATTACTTACTGGTAATATGATTAAACTAGAAAACAGAAAAGTTGCAGTGTTTCAGCCGTTTGTATTATCTTAAATTTATTTAGTTAAACATTGATAAAGAAATACTGTAGAAAATTACACTAGATTTCCCTTTTCCCCTTTTGGAAAAAAAATTTTCTTAAGATTTAAACAAGAAACTAATAATTTTTTGGTAAAAAGATAAACCAAAATTTTGCCCCCTTTTTTCCTTTAAAATTTGAATCATTGCTTCAAAAGTTTTTTTCTTCTGGACGTTTCATTGGTGTTTTAAAACGTTTTTTTTTATAAACTTCCTGAGTTTTAAAAGTTTTACTTCATTAAAATTTGCCAATTGTTGATGGAATTGGGGGATCGGTCTGTTTTCACGTTCTAAAAGGCTCACCAATTTGAAAACCCTGGCAGAGTTTGGACAAAACCAAAAAGGTCATTAATCTTTAAAAAACTTTTCTGTTTTTCTTCTGGATTTTTTATTTTTCCATAAAGTCTGATTTATGTTTACATTACGATATATCCTTTAATAGAATACCATAAGCTCTGAATAAACGTACCTGTATATAATCAGTATTTTTAATACGAGACTAAAGTAAACAACAATCCATGTTTTTAAAAACCAAAAGGTAAAATCAATTTCTGCCGCGTAGTCAGATACTCTTTGATGGGTTAAAGAGTCATCAGCATTTGCTTATGAGAAAAGGATCTGATAAAAAATCTAGATTCAACATCATGAATATATCATGGATGGTTAATGAGAAAAGTTAAGATGAACGATGCATTAGGCAGAATATATTTCGAGTTAAAATATTTAAAATTATAGAAATTATAAACTTATTAAAAACATTATATATAGCATTTTAGAGCCTTTAAAAGTACAGTGTAATGAATTGATTTTTTTTGCAAAGTGTATTTTGCTTTTCAATTTGTTTAAAATATTTCTTTTTTTTGTTAAGAAAAGCACCGATATGTATAGTAAACTATAATTATGAAAATGTCATAAATGCCTTTAAAGTTTTAATGTTTGTCATTTGACAAAGTTTATGAATTTTATGTGTATAGCTTAATGGAATGCGTCTATTTTATGTTTTAGAAATATTTAAAAGTTATCATAACATAAATTGATAAGAGAGCCATTTTTTATCTATTATAGAAGTGCTGAAGTGTCTAATATAAAACATATTTGAAAAAAAACTATGGATATCTTGTATATTAACTTAAGGTATTATCTATACAGAACTTTTTCATGTACAAGAAATAAATTTTACAGTTCTTTGATACAAAATATAATTGGTAAACTGTCGTATGCTGAAGGCTAATTCATGTTCGCTAAACTATGAATTTCAAAGAAAAACCATGTCAGCAAAATATGATAACGAAACCGTTGTAGTTAAAGCTGATTAAAGCTGACGGTACGTAATCCATTAAAGCTAGCATAATAGCAAAAGCTAAATCCTTGAAAACAAACCATAACA